GAGACGCATCTATGCACGCACGCACGCACGCACGCACGCACGCACGCACGCACGCACGCATACACATTAACAATAACTATTTACAATATATAGGGTATCAGCGACGAACCGTTGTCGGAAGTGGAGACGACAACAGATCGCTGACGATAGTAGTATATGTACACCGAACAATTCACACGCAGCACGCGGCTCGTACACTACCCAGCAGCGAGTGTGTGCGTACGTGTAACCTTGTGAAGCTTGTGCTTACGCCGTCATGTATAAATCTGATCTCATTACGTGGCCGTACACTAATCATTCATACACGGCCACACACAATTTGCCAGTTAAAGGGCTTATCAAGCCTGTTCATACCTGGCCTTATACAGCTTGTCCCAATGTGGCCTTATAAAGCTTGCCCCAACTTGGCCTTATAAAGCTTGCCCCAACTTGGCCTTATAAAGGGTTGTCCTAACATGGCCCTATAAAGGGTTGTCCTAACATGGCCTTATAAAGGGTTGTCCTAACATGGCCTTATAAAGGGTTGTCCTAACATGGCCTTATAAAGGGTTGTACTAACATGGCCTGATACAGCTTATCGATACCTCGCCTTATAGATATGAACCTGATACTTACACGTGTCCCTCTGCATCGCCTAATCACTATGTGGACCGACACAGCGGTTTTTAATGAGATGTTTATACGAGGGTAGAGTGAACACGGGAAGGTGGGGAACAGCTAAAAGACATAGGCGAATGTAACAAGTACGTACGCACACATACACGCATAAATACATACATATATATACACACACACATATATATATATATATATATATATATATATATATACACATAATATATGCCCACTTCAAAAGCGTATGCGACCGCAAGCAAACGTACGTTTTGCCGTCCATCAATCCCCAACTCTGCCCCACCTGCCCTGCCCCACCCCGCCCAACCCCACCCCACCCCACCCCACTCGATAACATACTGTTAGACGACGTAGACAAATAACAATACGTATGAACGATACAGCAGATTTGTTACCACGTTAGAATTGACTACGTTGTGCAGCGCGTCGCCCCTGCATGCACGCACACAATCGGGGACACTGGACCAGTTTGGAAGATATGCCTATACAACCTTATAGTCGCCCTCCCCCTCCCCTGGCAGCACGTAATTTCACTAGAGAAGGCGACAGCGCTCCCTATACGCTACAACACGCTGATATCACCTCGCCATAACGACAACTCTCAGACAGCACCCGGTGTCCTCGGTAAGGTGAATGGAAGGATCGGACCGGAGGCGGCGGCACTATGACTGTGACGCCCTCCAAAGATCAGTATTAGCAGCAGCCGCAGAGATTTTAATAAATCACAATTTAATAATTTGTGGCAAAAGTGCTGTAAACAGTCAGTCGCTCTACGGAATCTGGCAAAGGGATGCTGTACATTAAACCCTCGCCCCCTCTCCCCTTCTCTCTCCCCTGCCACTGTCGCCGTGTTTTTACACCAGAAACATGTTTTAGCGATGGGTGGAAGGGAGAGATCGTCAGCTGATCTGGTAGAGTGGTGGAGACATCAGACAGAGACGTGGTGTGCTGGTAACACATACAAGCAGCTGCCATTCTGCGGCTAATAAAAAAAACGAACATTTGGGAACATTCGTGAAAAGCGTCAATTCATACCGGGACATATCAGACTTTCAATATACCTCTCTACACTTTCTAACACGCACGCACGCACGCACGCACACGCACGCACGCACGCACGCACACGCACGCACACGTGCAGGAGCACACTTGAAAGCATGCGCATCGGCTGTTAAAACGATTGTCGCGTAATAAAATGAAACAAAAACGCGAACGAGTTCAAACGAAATCAATTTATAACACGTGCTCTCCCCACTCCGTGACGCAAGCCGCCCGAGCTATACACATCTTAACCAGGCTTCATGCAGCCGTGGCCGGATGCAGCAGCAGCAGCAGCGCCACCTCTCAGCAGCCGGGAGCGTCTGGGTGGGTGGGGTCTAGGGGGAGGGAGTTACTGTTGGTCATCAGTAGTCGGTGTTGCATTGCCTTGTCGAACGCCTTCTTCACAGCCTTGCGCTCCGCTGCAAAGACAAGTGACAACCGCTCACTCACCTGTAAGATAATCGTGTGTGTGTGGACCAGGGGGTGCGTGCGTACGTGTGTGCGTGTGCGTGCGTGCATACAAGCGTGCGTACGTGTGTGCGTACATGTGCGTGCGTGCATGCATGCGTGCGTACGTGTGTGCGTGTGCGTACGTGTGCGTGCGTGCGTGTTCGTGTCTGTCTCTCCGCTCGTATGCATGCATGCGTGCGTCGGATGTGTGCATGAGCGGACATACGTACATCAGTAAGGATAACAGAGCAGCAGTGTTCCCTCTGTCTCTCTAAAACACTAATATGCACTATGATTCTCAGTTACAATTTTCATAGTAGTGAACGGTAAAGCAAACCTTGAATGCCACACGCGATCAATTGTCCCCCCCCTCCTCTCCTCTCTCTCTCTCTCTCTCTCTCTTCATCTTTTTCTTTCTGTCTCGCCATCACTCTCTCCACCCTCTCTAGCTAGCTGTCTCTCTTTCACTCACCTGGCTTCTTTGATTCGTACACTTTAGTCCGGTCGAGGCAGGCGTCCCCTCCCAGGTGCTCTATCTTGTCTCTGGGTAGCCATTGCCTGCAGTAACACATAGACCCGGTATAGGCAATACACGCACGCACGCACGCGCACACACATACACACACACACACGCACATATATATATGATATATATATATATATATATATATATATATATGTTCAACAGTTGGTGGACAGCTAGTAATGTTGTCGGATTAGTGAATGATGAGTATTGACGATTAGTGGATGACACTAACATTAATGTCAAATCATAATCGACGGATAATTTTATACTAACATTACTTATTTGTTACATTGGTCTGCGACCTCTCTAGCTGAAACACAGATATTAGTTACGCCAGGGTATTTACTTCGATCATAAACAAGCACAACGGAAGCATTTCTACCATGCCCACCCCTGTACGATTCTATCCCCACCCTTCGCCGCAGGACGTGGTGCAGTCATCTGAGCTACAACCCAGTCATGTAACACATGCCGGCACACGTCCAAATCCCCAGCCACGGATAGCGAGGAATGACCCCCCCCCCACGGCCGACTGCAACTCACAACAGTGACGTCGCATGTAGCTACGTGGGGGAGAGGCCGGCTTATTCCCCCTCCCCCTCCCATGCAGGCCGCCCACCGTACCACCGGCCTACGCACACACAGGTCAGTTTTTCAGCTTGTAATCCCTCCGTCTGTTATATATGCTAACGCGGCGTGTGGCATCTCGTGGGGCAGTGCAGCGATTGGCGTGTGTGTGGTTATGCAGCAGGGTTGGGGAGGGTGGGTCGCAGAATCTATGATGGCCATGACGCCGACGTGCATTACACACGCGTCACATTACCGCGTGCGTACAAAGCTTTCCCTGCTGTCTCTCACCCAACTCTTAATAACACCCTGTCTGAGACCTAGCCCTTACCCCTCATTCTTGTTTTAATTACTTCCTTATATATTTATCCAGAATATAATATATTTTTATATTTTTTAACTAGAAATACCCTGTCAGTGCAGAACACACGGCAAGGTGGACTGGGATGTGCTAATATGACACATGCTGATACGCAATAATATACAATACTATACAAAAACATTTAATTCATTCAACCTGGCTGATCCTTGTCCTCCTGCCACCCACCCTTAGCCTCAGTCATTCATCTGTTTCCTCCAACCATCCAGCCTTCCCCTACTGCCATCCACGCTTCATACTGTCATCCCCACTTCACCTTCTACCATTCAACCATTCCCTCTATCATCCACCCATTTCCTCATTCCATCTAATCAATGCCGCCGCTCATTCATTCAGACTTCCTCTCCTGCCAACCTTTCCCTTTCTGCCACTCAACCCTTCCACTCCTACCATCCAACATTTTTGCACCTGCCATCCACCCTTTGCCCTGACATTCAACCCTTTCCAACCCCAACACTCATTTCTCGCTCTCTGAAATAAGGCGATGTGTGTACCGCATGGCCACCAGAGTGCGCCGGTGTCAAACTTACCACGTGCGCCGCGCGTCAAAGAACAGCACGAGGAAGACGGGTGTCGCATAGTTCTGTCGCATCTCCAGCACGTAGGCAGGTGGCGCCGGTATCGCCTCGCCGTTCTGACACACGCTGCGCTTTGGCACGTTCGGGTCGATGACCTGCAGAAGCAGGAAGCCATGAAGGTCGTGCAACAAAGTGGGAAGCCATGAAGGTCGTGCAACAAAGCAGGAAGCCGTGAAGGTCGTGAAACAAAGCGGGAAGCCGTAAAGGTCGTGAAACAAAGCTGGAAGCCGTGAAGGTTGTGAAACAAAGCGGGAAGCCGTGAAGGTTGTGCAACAAAGCAGGAAGCCATAAAAGTCGTGAAACAAAGCGGGAAGCCGTAAAGGTCGTGCAACAAAGCGGGAAGCAGTGAAGGTCGTGAAACAAAGCGGGAAGCCATGAAGGTTGCGCAACAAAGCGGGAAGCCATGAAGGTTGTGCAACAAAGCGGGAAGCCGTGAAGGTCGTGAAACAAAGCAGGAAGCCGTGAAGGTTGTGCAACAAAGCGGGAAGCCGTGAAGGTTGTGCAACAAAGCAGGAAGCCGTGAAGGTTGTGCAACAAAGCAGGAAGCCGTGAAGGTTGTGCAACAAAGCGGGAAGCCGTGAAGGTTGTGCAACAAAGAGGGAAGCAGTGAAGGTTGTGCAACAAAGCGGGAAGCCGTGAAGGTTGTGCAACAAAGCGGGAAGCCGTGAAGGTTGTGCAACAAAGCAGGAAGCCGTGAAGGTTGTGCAACAAAGCAGGAAGCCGTGAAGGTTGTGCAACAAAGCAGGAAGCCGTGAAGGTTGTGCAACAAAGCAGGAAGCCGTGAAGGTTGTGCAACAAAGCAGGAAGCCGTGAAGGTTGTGCAACA